ACCAACCGGAAGTTGGGACAAAAGTGAAGAACCAGTGGAGTTAAACAGAGATTGGAAGTGGTTAATGAATGTAGAGCTGATGTCCTGGTTGGAAGAAAGAATAGTCCCATTAACCTCAATGCCCCTAATGAGATTGGAATTTTGTCTAATATGAATGTTTGAGTACAGAAATTTCAGATCATCTTCTCCCGCCCTAAGCCAATGAGCTTTACTTCTTTGAGAGATCCAATCAACAAACTTAGCTTTACCATTAGAAAGATTCTCATTAATGGATTTGAGGGCCATATTAAGAGAATTGTTAAGAGGATCAGATTGTAGGGAGGAGATGATCTGAGACTGAGAATGAGCAAGTCTTTCAAGTTCTTCTTTCAGAAAATTGGAAGAGCTCCAAGTCCTTTGCTTAATCACACTTTTAAGTTCCTTAAGCTTATGATAAAAATCACAAATCGGGCTGCCACTGGTAGGTAAAGAAAAAACATTGATAACATCATCCCAAAAGGCAGGAATTTTACACCAATAATTCTTAAACAAAAAACGGTGCCTTTGGGAGGTAAAAGTATCCATTTGTAGAATAAGAGGGCAATGATCAGAAATGTCTGGGTCCGTCACAATGTAGTAAGAATTAGGAAAGGCAGCTAGCCAGGCATCATTAATAAACACTCTATCAAGTCTGATATGAATAGGGGCATCCAATCTCTGATTAAACCAAGTATAGAAGTGGCCAATAGCAGCAAGTTCAGTAACAGCCGAATTAAACACAAAGTTGTTTAACTCACCCAGTTTGCTCAAGTGTAAAAGCGAACCTCCAGCCTTATCAGCAGGAGACCTACAGCAGTTAAAATCTCCTAAAATAGCCCACGGAAGAGTGATAGAACTAGCAAACCCAGCTATTTGGCTCCACAAAGACTGTCTTTCATAGACAAAATTAGATGCATAGATGACAGAAATACAACAAATATCAGTCCCTGCTTGGGAAATAACACCATGAATGAGTTGAGAAGATGTGAAGAGAGGCTTAAAAGAAATTCTCTGAGCATTCCATTTAATCCAAATACGGCCCGGGGTAGAGTGAGCAAAATTGTTAAAAGATCATTCATTAGGAAAGATAGAATGAGAACAGATGAACCAATCATCAGCAAGAGAATTCAAAGAAACTTTAGCTTCGAGAATGAGAATCATATCTAAATTAAATTTTTTGACCAACGACTTACAAGACAAAACTTTGGAGGCATTATTAAATCCCCTAACGTTCCAAGAGGCCAATCTGGGGAGGGGAGGGTCATTTATGCTTATTTTTTGGGTTGTTAGCCTTTTTGGCTTGCTTGCTTCTAGTGTTTTTTGGGCTAGATTTGTCTTGGTTTGAATTATGGCTAGTGCTAGCACTGTGGGAGGGAGTGCTAGAGGAGGTGTTATCGGACGTGGATTGGAAATGCGGAATATCCTGATCCAGTCGAGAAGAGGATGGAATGTCTTTGCAGGTGGTCTGGGAAGAGGAAGGAAGAGGTTGGATGTCCTGCTGCTCAGATAGAAGATCAAATTTATTGGTAGTTGGAATGGATTCAGACATTATAGGGGGCAAATTGAAATCATTTTTTGGAGAAGATGAATTGTCAGTTTGGCCTATCTCAGGAGTGGGAGAGTTAAGGTTAGGAATAGAAATGGGTGGTGCAGAGGATTGTGGCTGTGTAGTGGGAGTTGGGAGAATAGAAGGAGCAACCACATGGCCAGCTGCAGAGGGAGAAGGTTTGTTTAAGACATTGAGGATAGGTTGTTGGCTGGTCTTAGGTCAGCGACTGGTGCTACGACCGCGAGCAATAGAAGAGATGTTGTTCGGTTTAGAAGGGGGAGGTGGGTTAGGATTTTTGGAGCATTGAGAAGCGGTGTGATAGATTGACCGACAAAAATAGCAGGGGATAGGCTTCCAGTCGTATAGAACAGAGAAACACTATGCCGTCTCACTTCTACATCAAACACAACTCGAAAACTGCAATCCCTTAGCTAACCCGACGTGCACAAAACTGCCTTCTATTCTTTCGCCGGATCAAAGCCTCTCGGATCTGCAGCTCTATCGCAGAATCACCGGCTCGCTACAGTATTTGACTATTACTAGACCCGACATCGCCTACAGTGTGAATCAATTATCTCAGCACATGTAAAACCCTCAACCGCAACACATTTATCTTCTCAAACGTCTTCTACGATACATTAAAGGTGCTATTGACTATGACATTCCGATTACAAAGTCTAAACTTGTTCTTAAATCTTTTTCAGATGCCGATTGGGCTGGTTAGCCGAGCTCTGTCAAATCTACATCCGGATACTGCTCATTCTTCGGGGACACTCTTATTTCGTGGACAGTTGAAGAAACAACAGACCGTAGCTCGCTCCTCAACTGAATTTGAGTACCGTGCTCTAGCCGCTTTAACATCTGATATAATTTGGCTCAGACGTCTACTAACTGATTTTGGGATTCAACAACAAAGTCCAACATATATGTTTTGTGACAATACCTCAGCAATTGCACCGACCAACAATCCAGTGTTTCATGCTCGCACGAAACATATTGAGATAGATCAAAAGTTCATTCGGGATCACATACAAAATAACATTGTTTGTCTTCTACCCATCAACACAATTGACCAAACCGCAAACATCTTCACCAAAGCACTATTTACTCCTCGATTCATCACTCTTAGAAACAAACTGACGGACATTCAAGACCCATCAATTTGCGAGGGTGTATTAGTGCATAATAATAAATATAAATGTAATTTACAAAATGTTGACGTGGCAGCTAAAACCTGAATACTGTTGTATTTATATATAGGCTACCGTGAAGGCTAATAGAAAGATAGATTTTACTTTCCTGTACTAGTCATTCTCTCGTTCTTTCTATGTTCTTGCTTTTCCTTTCCACAAGAAGTCATATAATAAGAAAATTATTTGTCGGCGGCCAGAGCAC